TCTATCTTTATCTGAGCTGCTGTGGACTTCTTCTTTCCCATAATTTTTGAACATAAGAGCTTAAACAAGAAGGAACCCACTCTCTTGCAAAGGCAGATGCATTAGGGAATCTCAAGCAAGAGTGTACTGTAAGAGCTTGATTCTGATTTTTAAATTGCCTAGTTTAAACATTGGATATTCCTTTTACAGTTTTAAACAATCCTATTGGGATGTTCTCCCCTAGTTCCACTGTAGGCAGAAGTATTGAGAACATTAGCTACTTAGTAACAAGAATCTTTACACACTAATCATCTTTATTTCAAAGCAAGTTACAGGTGTAAATTTCTGCTGTGAAGTTTGGATGAATTTGTGCACAAGTGCGTGCAGTCTGGACATTTCTTGTTCACTACAGGTTCCAGCTGTAAATTAATTGAAAATGTGCATAATCCTAAAAGTATATACGTAGAGAGTTGACTTTCACTGAAACCTGGTATTTCTGGAATGCTGCTCAGAGAGATTCCCAGCCCTTTGGAGCCAATTCCCTTTGATTATTCTGTCTTGCTTTTCTGCTGGTAGCTTTTATGTCCTTTCAGAGAATTTACTCTGGTCATGGATATAAAGGAAAATCTTATAAGATGCAATAAATGGAACTTTGGATTTATGGAACGTAAAATTTCTAATAGTTCTCCTGTCAAAGTGGTTTGTCGTGTAGTCTCCTCCTTTTGCGTGGTGTTAACTGAAATATTTTATCCACTTTTCTTGGATTACTAGCTTCTGAATCAAAGCTTTCCTGGTGATCTGGCTAACTGCCTTGATCTTTCTTCTGCAGGTTGAGTTGGCTTTGTGGGATACAGCAGGACAAGAAGACTATGATCGACTTAGACCGCTTTCTTATCCAGATACTGATGTTATACTTATGTGTTTTTCAATTGATAGTCCTGATAGTTTAGGTGAGTAGATCACTAATTGAATCAGAACTGTTTCTGTGTCACTGTGTTCCCTGTGGAAATCGTGCTGTAAAACATATTTTCACATACTGTAATGATTGAGAGCATTCCTAGTTTCAAAATTCATATTGGTTTGAATGTATAGTTTTCAGACATTAAGACCTTGAAGGAACCTGTATTCTTCAACAATGCTGAGTGGCATTTTGTAAGCCTTAGCAGCACGCTGTATTTACCCAGCGCTCTGCTGCATAACTTGAGCAACACGTAGCAGGGAGGCAGCTCCTTGGCCTGGATCAGCACCCGCAAACCAGCAGCGTTGTCTGGTGGGCCGAGGCAGCATGCTGGTGTGCTCATCCCCTGGGGGGTGCTGCCTTGGTGACTCCAAGCAAGCAGGAGGGCTGCAGCTGCACCCTGCTGTGTCTGGCAGCCCTGTGAGTACATGTGGTGTCCACTGAGTGGCATGGCCTGCCTAAGGTTGGATTTTGTTTTACCTTTTTTTTTTTCTCCTTGAAAATTCCAAGTTCTTACGCACTGGAGACCGCACTAAATCCAGGAAAATCGAATAACATTTTGTGAATGGGAAAAGCTACCTTTCACTAGCTTTTTCATCCCTTCCACCACCTTTAACCCCTCCTTTTATTCAAGAGGGGTATTTTAATCAGCTTGAAACACTCTGAGTTATTGATCCCAGGTAGCTCTTTTTTTTTTTTTTTTACTCTCTGCTTGGTGGGTGAAAAACATGAGCTAGAACCACACTGGAGGGGGGCTTGCACTGAAAGCTGTACTCTGACAAGAACCTTCTGTGCAGTGACTGACTGGTACTTGTTCGTAACTGGTCAAGATTATGTCCATGCACTAGCCAGGAAAAGTGAGAGACCCCTCTGCTTTATCTGTTAGAGACGGGTGTCAAATTATTTTAACTGCTGCTCATCAATGGGATACCAGTTCTCTCTTAAATCTGTTAAACCACTGAATCATTTTGGAGTTTTCTGATGCCAGGGTGGTCACAATCACTGCAAGCTGTCCTTAGAGAGGTTTTTTACTACACGTCTGATTTATCTTACAAATGAACCCTGCCCCCCAGAGCTGTGTCTTAGGAAGAAACAAGAATGAGACAAAAAGGATCCAGGAAGGACAGAAATGCAGCTAATGGAAGGATCAGTCCTGAATGCAGCCTGCAATGGTTGAAAAATACCATTCCTGCCACAATTCACAGAAGGTTTGAGTAAATGAGCAAACCGAATATTCCTTAAGAGGCTGCAGTGGCGTTACGGTCTGACGGGGGTAGTTCTTGGTAGCTGCTCATCTTGTTTCTTGCCTTGCCTCTGAAGGGTAGCAGGTTGAATGGGCAGTTGGGTGCAAAAGTGTCTTTTAGAAAAACCACTGCCAGCTTGGTATCTGGGAAATCCTGGTCTCTCTCTTCATCACTTCCATGTGATGCTGTGTTTGGAGACATCTTTCATTGCCTTTGTCTCTCTCCAAGACAATCCAAGGTGCGGTTGGCAGCGGTGCTGCGGTTGTGCCTGGTGTGGCTTTTGACAGCGACACACAAGGTTTGAGCTGTGCTCACTTGTGCCGCCTGTGCTGCTCCCCTGGCAGCTGGAGAGCCAACTATCACCTCCCTGGAAACACCAGGGGTTATGAACCCTGGAGGCAGGAGGAGAGGGGTTTAGTAAGGTCAAGTCTGATCTCTGCTATTTTTTCCTCCCTGCTCACCAGTATCAGGGTGCCTGTGTCCCTGGGAGCAGTGGAGGGAGCAGGGAACTGCCAGGCAGCCGTTCAGGTGTGCAGCATCTGGAGGCCGGCACCCCCGGAGCACTCCAGGTGCAGCTGCAGGATTGCTGTCCTGGCTGTAGTGCAAAAACCGTCTTCAAAATGCTTGTCTATGTTCTTTCAAGCAGGAAAACAATGTCATAATAGTTAATGTCTCTTCAAAAGCTGAATGGAATTTTGTGAAGATAAAAAGGGGTTATGTAGCCTGCAGGTACATCCACTGGTGAATCTCAGATGTCTGAGCGCTTCTGAAAGCAAAGCCGAATGTTTTTGGGCTGTTCAACACTTCCTGTTGTATAGAATTTATCAAGGTTTTGCTTTCAAAAGCCCTCAGGTCTTCCATTTGCAGCTCCATTTAAAAAAAACCAAACAGTCCTGTAGGGAAGTCGTGTTAGGAGGAAAAAGTTTCTTCTATATGAGTGCAAATTCATTTGCTGCAGATAAGGGGAAATGGCAAATCTGCAAATGACTTACCCGTCTTTGTTTCTGTGTATCTGTGCATCTGTAATCAGCTTATAGAATAACATTTCTGCTGCAGTTAGTGCAAGAGTTCAGTGTGGTTGTTTGATTTTGCTTTTTAAAAGAACAAAGTGATGTAAAAACTTAGGCTTCAGGGTTGTGTCCATCTTTAGCTTCTGGAGATGAAAATGTTTCTCTTGAAGCAAAATATTCCGTAACTCTCTACTTCAGAATTCTGCACGCTGTTCTTTGAAGCGCCTTATGCTAACCCTTGTCAAGTAGCTACTGAGAGATGTAGAGAAGCCAAGAGTTTAGGTGTCCTTTAGCCTTAAAATTACCATAGACAGACTTGTATTTCTTGGTAAAACCAGAACAGGTCTATTTTCTTCCCAAACTAAGAACTAAAACCGCTCAGGCAGCAGGTAAAAGCTTTAAAACAAAACTCTCCCCAGAAGTGGATTTTAGTATAGTTATACTTCTTTTTTTTTCTTTTTTTTTTTTGTATTTCCAGAAAACATCCCAGAGAAGTGGACCCCGGAGGTGAAGCATTTCTGCCCCAACGTGCCTATCATCTTGGTAGGAAACAAGAAGGACCTGAGGAATGACGAGCACACAAGACGAGAGCTGGCCAAAATGAAGCAGGCAGGTTCCTTTCTGATAGTCTTGCAATAAATAAAGGCATTGTGTAGCGGTTGTACCAGATGATCAAATGGGCATCTGCAGCCTGCTGCCAGCTTCCCATGGGCTGCGTAATGAACGCTTATCCATGACAGCAACCAGAAAGTATATATTACCATATATTACCTTTAACTGAGTGTTTCTTTTTTCATATTTGGAGATGTAATTTTTAGAAAAAGGCGTTCTCAACAATGAAAGTGGCTGTGTTGGGTTGCTAACAGTCAGCTGCTCTCTGTGCTGGAGAGCTGGGTCCCTGAGGTAGAAAGGAATTAATTAGGAGATATGAACACAGCAAGTACAGACACTCTGGAGTTGTTCTTTATTGTGTATGTTCAGGATGTGAAAGGAAACAGTTTCATTCGTAGGTGTTCTGAGGTGATAACCACAGATGCTGTAGCTCATTCCTGAGCCTATTGCTAGGTTTCATTTTCAGGTCATATCTGAAACCCCCAGCTTGGGTATGGTGCTGCAGATAACTCTGCTCTGTCCTGGAGTGTTTGCTCCTGTTGCATAACATTTGCTTTTATACAAAGACTGAGGCATTAATTTTGGGATGTGTTCATAGGCTTTTGTTACAATTGTGGCAAAGAGTTGCATAAATGTTTCCTCTGAAATATGCAATCATTTGCTCAAGTTTCAAAGAGTCTTGTGGCCTTTAAGCTCTGAGGTGTTACAAAACCCATCCTGTCCTCAAGCATTGGCACAGTGTGCAAATGTACACCCCATCTGTGTAATCCAGGCTGAGATGCATGTTGCATCTTGAGAAAATAAGCAAATTCACTTTTAAATCTTCCTTGATTATTTAAGGGCTTGTTCTCAAGGGAGCAATTAAATATTAATTAACCAATTAATTATGTGCCTTTAATCCAGGCATTCCTTTGCCTTTGTTGGGGAGCTGGGTGGGAAAAGGGGGACAGGTGCGTGTCGGTGTGGCTTTGGATTGTTCTCAGCTGTTGCTTTTGTGCTGTTACAGGAGCCTGTCAAACCCGAAGAAGGACGAGATATGGCAAACCGCATTGGTGCATTTGGGTATATGGAGTGTTCGGCAAAGACCAAAGACGGTGTGAGGGAGGTTTTTGAAATGGCCACTAGAGCTGCTTTGCAAGCCCGGCGTGGCAAGAAAAAGTCCGGGTGCCTTCTCTTATAAAGTGTGGCCAGAGGAAGATGGCCAAAGCAGCACCCTGCACTTGAGTAATTTTGAAGTGCTGTTTATTAATCTTAGTGTATGATTACTGGCCTTTTTCATTATCTATAATTTACTTAAGAGATTTAAAAATCGAGTCATCTTGCTACCAGTATTTAGAAGCCAACCATGATTTTTATAACAATCTGCATCAAATTCATCTGTGCACCCAAGGTTAACCTCAACATTCCTCTAACAAACCTTTTCTGCACTCACAGGATATGCCAGGCGCTAATTGAAGACAATTCTCTGTCTTCTTTCTTCTCTTTAGAAAGAGAAAAAAGCTGTCAACACAGAGGATTGGTCTGTAACTACTTTATAACTAACGTCCTATTCTAATTGAGTACAACAGTTACATGGCTGTATGTGGAATCAAGTGTAGCTTCAGTGCTATCACATTTAGGAAGATCTGGTTTTCATGGCTCAGTGGTGTAAAACATTAGTTTGAAAATGTGATCACTCTGAAATGACCAAGTCCCATTCAGCTAAGGAAAAGTGAGGGTTCTGTGGTTTCATGTTAGTTACCTTTTAGTTACTGTGTAATTAGTGCCAGTTTAAATGTATGTTACCAAAAATAAATCTATTTACCCCAGCTTAGATGTAGTATTTTTTGTATAATTGGATTTCCTAATACTGTTACTTGTAACCTCTGCGTTAAGGTGTTCTGGGTTTTTTAAGAAACTGTATTTGAAAATAAAGTCCGATGGAAAGCAGCTGATCCTCTTCCCCTGTTCATTTGTAAGAGTCTGACCCATTTAAATGATTTGAGTGGTCTGCACACCCAGGAGGAGTTTTTTCCATGACGTGCCGTAGGGATGAGAAAAGACAGCCTGCTCACACTCAAAGCTTCTGAACTGTTCAGTTGCCTTAAGTTCATTGCTGGACCCAGTTTCAAAACAAACAAAAAAAGAAACTTTTTGTGTAAGTTTGGTTACCATGTAGTGATCAGACTCCTAACCTGTGAACTTCTTGCTGTTCTGCAGCCAACTAAACTCTTTCTGTATTTTCATTTTTCCAACAACTAATAGAATAAAGGCAGTTTTCTAAGCTCCCTGTATCCTGGTGTCTGTATTCCTCACTCTGGGTTTTTGGCCCAGTATCTGACAGTCTGAATCAGAAATACCATTTTTGATACAGCTGTGACAGGATTCCCTGAGCAGTTGTAAGTGCTTTCATACTTATTTTTGTTTCCCAGCAAATGATACCCATCCACTGTTTGCAGTGGTTTCCAAACGCTGCAGCGGAGCAGAGGAGGAATCCATCGCCTTGCCTGGCTCCTGTGGTGGGTGGCAAAGCTTCCCAGGGGCTCCTTTCGATACTTAAATCAGTTGAGTCGAGTTTGTTGGTCTTGAGCATGGGGATAGAGGAGGTTATGTAGGAGGGGAGTGTAGGAAGAAGGGAGGAGAAGATGGCAGTGTTGCTGCAGAAGCACGTGGTGGTAAGCAGCATGCTGGTCTGCGCTGTCACGTACCCACGTGCCACACTGGAGCACGTGTGAGATGTGCACGCTTGCCGTGCCTTTGTCATGAGGGTGTCTTCAAGTGCTGTAACAAGGGCTGGTATGGCTCGAGGTATGGGCTGTTGTGCTGCCTCCATGCTGGAGAGCAGATTGTGCTTCTCCTGGGTGAGAAACAATCTGGAGTAGCAGCGTGCAGCTCCATGGTTGAACTGGGCTGGGCAGGAGGGAGTCTGGTTGCTGACAGCAATCCATGTGAGTGAGCACCTAGCTGCTGCATTCAAGTCCCAAAAAATGCCATCACTTTTTTTTTCCTTTGTGACAATGTTCCCGATTCCTCTTCTTGCAATAAGGAAGAAACAGACCTGGCTGTGGAAATGCCCCATACCTCTGGTCCTTGTCCTCCCTCTGCAGCCACAGATGCCTCAGAGTGAAGCATCCTGCCAGCCCCGTGGTGGCACCCACCTCCCCCTTCCCTCCTTCCTCTCCTGGGTGCCTGTTCTCCCCCCACGCGGGGTGGAACAGAGCAGGTTCCCAGCTCCAGCTGTGTGGCGCACTGTGAGGATTTGGGACCGATACTATTCAATGTAATTCTCTGCTCTCTTCACAAGCTTAGTCACTCCTCTGCAGTTCCTTTTTGTTTTGGGTGATTTTTGTTATTATTGGGTGGTTTGTGGGGGGAATGACTTATAATTGAGCAAAATCGGGGCTTTTCAGTCGGCTTTGCAGAGCTGGTGGGTTGCAGTTCTCTATGGTCACAGCTACAGAGCAGCTCTTCAGCTGCTTACCTTACCTTGAGTAAGGTCTGCACGCTCTCCGGACCCAGCCCGTGGGTTGTGTATCTGCTGATGCACTTCCACCCAGAAGGGATTACTTTGTTTTCCCAGCTTTAATCTAAATGCTTGTTAACCTACAGCAACACCTCCCCATCTCCTCTGTCATGTCCACCAGCTGGTGTTGGGTTTCCAGGCCTGCCCTGCCTTTCAGCGAGTCAGTGTCTCCCATCTATGACCAGAAGCTCCAGCTCCTTCTTGATCCTTGGACCACTGGCATGAGAATGGGAGCCTGCTTAGGAGCCCATGGTTGTTAAGTTATCCGCCCTTCTCAGCCTCCTTGCCTTCAAGGGCTGGCAGCCCAGCTCCCTTTGAGTTCCGATCGCATCTGTCACCTCTGGAGGCCACCTTTTTTCCAGATGAAACTGAACTGAGGACAGAGACAACCAGACCAGACCTGGGAAATGAGAGCCCAGTGCTCCTGGAGAGCGATCCAGGAGTGTGAGAGGGGCACTGGAAAAGCCAGGAGGTGAGTGCCAGCTCCCTGGCCAGGGGAGAGCGCTCAGTGCCAGGAGCAGGGAGAAGATGGAATCAGAAGGCCAGACTGTGTTTTGCAACCTTTGCAATTATTCACCACTGTTGCTGCTAAACAGCAATCTGACCTCGTAGGACAACTGTCGCTTGTCACACATCTCTAAAGGGGTCCCTTGAACCCATCTAGTCCCTCTGGAGCTCCTGACCCTCCTCTGGATCCAAGTTCAGCCAGCTCTGCGGAGTGTATCCAGGCATGCGTGGACTCTGCAGAGTGGACCATAACCACCAACTGACTCAAGAGCAACATGAATCCTGTGCCTCTGCTTGTCCCGACAGCTGTTTCCCCGCTGCTCTAATCTCTCTCGGGCCACTTGTCATGGTTCCTGCTATTAGTGCTGCAACACACCGCAAAAACTGCGAGATGATCGGGCCAGACCCCAGCAATCTCCGCAGCCATTTTTGGTCCCAGCACGGAAGAGCCGCCATGGCGCGTACTGCCTCAGGGGCGTGGCCCCTGCGAGGGCGGGGCGGGGCTGAGAGCAGGCCACGCCCCCAAAAGGCAGTGTGAGCGATGGCGGCGAAGGCAGCGGAGGGTCCCAGCACGGAAGAGCCGCCATGGCGCGTACTGCCTCAGGGGCGTGGCCCCTGCGAGGGCGGGGCGGGGCTGAGAGCAGGCCACGCCCCCAAAAGGCAGTGTGAGCGATGGCGGCGAAGGCAGCGGAGCGTCTATGGGCGCTGTCGGCGCGGGCCCCTGGGGCTACGGAGCCCC